TCAAATTTACTGATCATCCATACCATATTCTAATTAAATTCTAAATTGTATTAATATAAATAAAAAACTTGTAAAAACATGCAATATGTTGAAACATTTAAATTATAATAAATAAAACAATAATATACGAACAAATATAATTTATAAATAATTATCTTTAATATTATTTACTTAACATTTTTTGATATTTACCTAATATTAATTAGTCAATTTCAAATTCTTGGAGAAATTAAATAAACAAAATTATAGCATAGGATAGGTAAAGTATGATTCAATGAAATGATTATGCCACCACGTCAACAGCGAAAAGTAATTTACGTCAGAAATTGTGTTGGTTAACATCAGCTAATGAATTATTTATTTTAAATGATGAGCAGAGCAATGGATTGGTTTTACAATGATCTGTGTTTTTTTTATTTTTGTGTCCGAGTACACGATTAGTAGTCGAAATAATGATTCGGTTTTTCAACTTCAGTATCTTGTTCGATGGGAAAGTGAATTTAGTTGGTACTTTTGAGCGGTCAACATTTCAAATTCCCAATAGTTTTCAAAAGCGTCAGTAGAAACAAAATAAAAATTAATTAAAAACGGGAATTTTTACTCAAAATAGATTTTGATTTTTAGTGTAACTTTAAAACAAATTAACGTAGATTCATGAAATTTTGACTGAATGTTTATCTTAGCGTTTTCTTTACAAGATAAAATGTTCAAAACATTTGGATTTGGTTTGAAGTTTAAGGAACATTTTCCGTTTCCGATTTTATTAGTCTTTTTTTCTATGAAAGTCAATAAAACTTTATTTGCTGGCTAAAAAAGCTTGAAAATTTAATACAATACTCCAACTATATTTACATGAAATTTTGACTTGAAATTGTTCATCAAGCCTATACGTGGAGGTATCTATGGATATATCTTCAACAATGATATTGAGGTTTTTAATATTATTTTTTTCTAAACTGAATATTTTTGCGGGAGATACACTTCCAAAGTGGTAAAATATGTATCACCCCCCCCCCCCCTATAACTTCTAAAATAAGAGAATGATAAAACTAAAAAAAATATATGATGTACATAACAATGCAATCTTGCACCGAAAATTGGTTTGAACGATATCTAGTAAGTAGTTATTTTTTAATACTTTATAATATAAATAATAATTTTAATTATTACCACGGGGCGTGGCTTGATCTTCAGGGGGTGCACAGAGAGCGAGGGGGGCTTGTTCCCGACTGTGTTTACTCGGGAGGGTAAAATTATTATACTATTGGATAAGACTTCTGCTGGACCTAATGTGGGGCCAGACTTAATTTTAAAAAAATACACTATTATTAAAACATCGATCAAAGTTACTTATTATTTATGTTACTAGCTGCTACGGAACCCTTCATGATCTAATCCGACTCGCACTTGGCCGCTTTTTTTCATAGCAATTAAAGTTCGAATTTTGACAAAATTTATCAAATTTAAAATGTAATAATTTTTGTAGTTAATAATTTATAAAATTTTCAACTTCTATAGCTAAGGGTTGAAAATTTAAAAGAAGATTTCACGCAAATAGGTTAAGTATATTATATAAATTAGTTTATTCACAATAATATCATCAAATATACTTGGTAATATCATTAGGCTGACTGACCGTCTTCGCTCAGAATCGTTTTTCTTATACAATTATATTATATTAACAAATTTAACACCATCGATTACAGTGACACACTTGTAACCTACTGTACAGCAGAGCAACACCCACTTGCAAAATTTTTTTTTTTAATTTAGCATTTAAATATTTAACAAGTTTCTTTTTTAATTTACATTACGTAGGATACAACATCACGCCATTAAAAAATTGAAAACCAACTGAATATAAAACATATTTATTTTATCTTTCTACAATTTAAATTGAATAAAAAAAAAACTGTTATATATGAGTCATGGTGGCTGAAATAAGTAGGTCATGTTTTTATATACTTGTTAGTAATTATTAAATACCAGATAAAAATAAGTCTCGAAATATAGATAAAAGCTTACAGGAAAAAAGTTATATTAATAAAATATATTTTTATAATAACTCCCCATTCATTTAGAATTGTTTAAATCTAAAAAGTAATGTTATTATAGATAAAAATAGTATGTAAAATATTGTTAATTATTTTGTTGAGGTATTTCAATGATAATTATTTACAAAATACGTATTAGTTATAACACGGCGTCTTGAGTAGGCCATTTCGGTACAGTGATGTCGAGAATCCATTTTTATGATATCTTATTGGCATGGTGCATTTAAATTATTCATCAAAAGTTAAATTTACATGACTTCGACGGCTAAATACAGCTATAGACGGAAACTGACAATTAATGGTACCAAAGAACTGACTCCATTTGGTGTTTAATGTTATACATTTTAGCCATAATTATAAGTGTTGGGGACTGGAACCAAGCAATTATATTTCGTGTGCCCGGACACCCAAGCGTTTACACGCACCTTATCACACACCGACCGACCTGTGTAGCTTGTGTGTAATGGTGTAATAGCTCATCTAGAATTGTTTGGGTTCTCCACGAAAATTCTGTTTCGCTATATGGTGTAGTAATTTGTAAAGTGTGTATAATTGTGTTTAGGTAATATAAAAATGGTAATTAAAATATAACGGTATTTAACACTTTGAGCGCCATGTGTATCAATTTCAATATGCAACTTAAAATATATGTTTATTTGTTCCGCGTATATTGATAATGATACACAGTTATATGGTACACACGTTACAAAAAAAATTTCCCGGTCAGAATTGTCAGTTTTGTCATTTTAGGTGTTAACTTTGCACTCAAAGTGTTAAATTGCTGCATAACTGGTAAAAAGACAATAGATATATAATAATAGTGCACAGCAGCGGACAATAATATGAAATATAATAATAATTAAGCACGGCCCGTAAGCCAAAACAGTACAATACGTATAATAATATAGGACCCTCCTGGACCAACAGAATAAAATATAGGTATAGCTACCGTCTTTTGAACAGTACGTTCTTAATCACTACAATAATAAAATGTATAAAAACTCACAAGTATGTCGGTGCAAGGCTGGTCAGCTTGCTAAATGTACATGTATAAATAATTTGACACAAAAACAAATATAATAATATGATATACATATAGTGACTTGCGACCTTAACATAATATGTAATAATAATATGTATGGCGATTCGAAAATTAATCGACTCAAAATTAAAAACACAATAATAAATATTTGGCGATTCACGCCTTTGACTATGGTACAAATATGGCAATATGTACAATATAATAATATAATAATTCGAACGACGGCACACGCAATAATAATTCTGTTTTCAATAATCTATAATCTATGCATATATAAATGAATTGATGTTCGTTAGTCTAGCTAAAACTCGAGAACGGCTTGTCCGATTTGGCTAAACAATTTTTTTAATGTTCGTAATTGCCAGGAAAAGGTTGTTACTAACGAAAAAAATTAGGAAAATCTGGATCTCTGAATCCGGAAATCTGGATGTAAAAAATACAACAGTGGTGCAACAGTGTATTATAATTTATATTGATTGCTATTAAATAATCGGACATGTTTGTTGATTTGTATTATTTTTTTTTGTCAATATATATGTATATATAAATAAATGAATGTTTGTGTGTAGATTAGACCTCTGGGAAGAAGACAGGCTAATTTAAAAATGGTTAAATTTGGTTTTTTTTTATTTATCTGATATTAGTACGGTTAGGATTTTGTATTAACTGATTAAATTAATTAACCATAGTTGGAATATGACAAACTTGGTAAACTTGGTACTTAGAGGTAAATCATACACTTACGTACAAACAGCACGGGGTCCGTGATCTACCACAGGTAGATTGCCTACCTGGTAATGTACTGCTGCGATTCAGAATTTTTATCCCAGGCAACAGAAGAGTTATAATAAGAACACCATACACCGAAAAAAGTTTGAGTCATATAGAGTTGGTACATTTAACGGGAAACGAAGTGCACGGGATCAGCTAGTAATATGTATGTGGCGATTTTCGCCTTGCACAAAAATATAAAACCTATGGTGATTTGCGCCTCAAAACTAGATAATTAAACCAGATAATTTCGGTACCGAAAAGTATAATAGTTTTAAATACCTATGTGGGTTTAATTAATAGTATGAGAAGTATTAAAAAACTCATAATATAATCTTACATAGATTATACACAAGACAGTAATACATTTAAATTATGATAAATACAATTATTTTATTTTTGAACCTAAAAGTGCCTTTTTAATTTCAAAATTCTGGTTCGGTACCGGTACTTGAAATATTAAAATAAAGTTTTCGGATCCGGTTCCGGGTTTTGATATTTTATAGGTTTCGGTTCCAGTACCGGTTATTTTAGATTCGGTTCCAGTCCCTGATTTGGTTACTTCGACCTCAATATTACTTATAATTTGTTGTTTGTTGACTGTACTTCAAAATGACCCATGTGTTCAATATATAGTTATTCATTAAAGTTATTGTCTATAGGCACTTATTAATAACCGACGTAACTGGTCCGGGTCGGGTACTTAAATTCAAGCATTAAAAGTTTTATTTTGTTACGTCGGTAACAATATTTAGTTCGTAATTAATATTTTCCAACCGTCTCAATATAGCGCATTATTTTCATTTTAATTATTATAATATAGATATATTATTTTAAATAGCTCAGTCATTTATACAAGCTATACTGACCGTTTTTTCACTTATTTACATTTCAACCTCTGACAATTTCCTGCTAAAACAGAACTGAAATTCCGATTAATCCTCTATACAGATCCCTGTATATGCGTATAAAAATGTAATGGTTATCATATATTACCTATCACAGGTGAATATCATATTGTAATTTGTGGAATAAAAATATGAAAAGGATTATATATAGGAATTTGGAAATAATTACAATTCAACTTAATTCATTTATTATGTTTATTATATTATATTATTTTAATAATAAATTCAATCTTTTTTTTTGTTCAACATAGTTCCGAGAGTATCCACTGCAATACTTAAAATTGATCCAACAAGATCAAAAGGAAAGCTTTTTAACATGGGTAAAGCAGTTTCATTTGAATTTATGATATTTCCATATGAATCTGTTGTATTAAAATCATATGAAGCTTCGATTTCAGAATTTTTATTTGAATTATAATTTGTCTTGTCGCTAATCATTTTATATGCCTCCTTATAATCTTCATAACTGGTGTGACTGATATCAGATTCTTTGTTAGTTCAATGTTGCTGCCTGATTAATAATAATCATCGTTGATAAAACAACCAATAATTGCACCGGAAACATTTTGTCTATAAAACAATGTAAATACATACTATTATCATAATTATCAATAGAATAAAATACATACGCAGGGTTGTAAGGAAAATGTAATAATTTAATGATTCAACAAAATCGAATGAACCAATTATGGGACTAAATGATGTTTAACGGACCATTAGCTCACTATTTCTTCGTTAAATGTTTAGTGATTGTTCATGCAATCCAGCAATAGTGTTACTCTTATACTCATAACCAATTTCACACAAAATAAATCAACTCCAACCAAAAACTCAAGACCACTCGCATGGGCATATGGGAAAGGCCTAACTTATATTAAATTAAAAACTCCGCCAAAACTTCCTACTACTAATAAAGGCCCAGGCATTTGGTTATAGAATGATACGCCCCAAGCCCTCCATTAAAGCAAAGTCAGTCTACTTTAAACATTCAAACCTTCGACAACAACCCACCAGCCATAACCGATAGATTGAAGGAACATGATTCCGACGATACATCGATCCAATAAAAATACTAACTACCAAACGACCACGAAAACTGTAGCTGTACACTGGGAGCTAGAAATTCTGAACGGCAGATGTACCGGTCAAACATCACGAAATATTAAGGGATTTAACAGTCGTCGCCACTGTATCATCGTTGACGCCACCGGCGACGTGTCCCAGGTAGCCTACACTGCACGACAAACGACTAATACGAAGACGTGCACTGCTCAAAGTTAATCGTCACAAATATATTCGAACGACGAGAGTTTTCGAGGTACCATCACAATAATCGTCCTAGGATAAGGATACGAATCGTCAGTGGCATCACCCTGACAGCAACGGTGATCACCGAAGACTTCGCAGCCGGCGGTTAATTCATCCAGGTGACTTACGTCAAACCATTGAAATAGCCCTTTTTTTTAGAGCGACTAACCTACGTACTCCTACCAACCACGCCTGTCTAGTTCACGATCGTCCAGATGAGACTTATGATCGGATGCCACTTTTGTAAGCGGTTTCAGTACAGTGTCATACAACAAACCGACAATTGTATGTTCGTTAAAAACATTTCCTATTTGTAAGACAATCGCGTAAGAGTAGGGATAAAAAACCCGGACAATTAGGAAAAAAACCCTTTTTTTTCCCCAAGAGCCTTGGAAAATCTCATCCTATAAATATCATTTAAATCTTAATTGGAAAATATTAAAATAATACATTTCGCAAAAAGTTTTCGGAAAACTAAAAAAAAATAACCCAATTTTTGAAAAATTAAAAAATTGTATTTATACTTAAAAAAAGGTGCTCTGCTGTACAGTTCGTTACAAGTGGGGCACTGTATAATGATGGTATTACATTTGAATTCAAAGGATATAATAGCATTGTATAAGAAAAACAATTCTGAGCGAAAACGGATAGCCAGCCTATGATGTTACGAAGTATATTTGATGATACTAATAGGTGAATAAAGTAATTTATATATAACCTATTCACGTAGAATCTTGTTTTAATTTTTCAATCATTGGATTCAATCATGATGGAAATAAACAAATAACTGATTCCTGACAACATCGAAGGACTTTTTATTATTATAATAAGACGTTATCTTACACAGGGTGAGTAACGTATCACTATATTATGACAATATCAAAATTATTAAAATAAACATAGTGTATCTTATGCTTAATCCTAATCTATGTTAACCGATATTTATACGTTGAATTGAATTTGTTAGTATTAGAACATTTAAAGAATTGTATAATGACAATATTAGGTATGTACTTTCACCCAAAACGTTTGTTGGTCAAACCATGACATATTAGATAATATGTATCATCACAGTATTTTGATACGCGTCCTCCGCTCTTTACTTCGCCTTTATCGTAGTTCTCCACTTCTTATTGGCAGTCAATCATATACACACATATATAACATGGAACAAAATCAACCAACGAGAAGTGGAGAACTACGATATAGGCCGGAGGTGAAGGAGATACATATTAATTACTGCGCTAAACTAGTACAACTGTGATGATACCTATCTAATTTGTCACGGGTCAAACTACTATAATAGGTACATTCATCATGATCTATCTTTTTTTTTATAATATTATGGGTCGATATATGTATACACATTTTGTAAAATTCACGAAACATGATATTAATTTGGTACACATAATGATGTAATGTTGATTTTTAGAATATTGTTGTTATTTTAATTTAAAAATAATAATATATTATAAGTACAAACCTGGTATTTTGATGTTTGACGAAGGTATAGGTGTAGGTGGTGTAGGTGTTAGGTATAGGTGATGGAACTCGCTAATGATAATGTTATAGTATTCACTAGCCCTCTTAAATACTTTTTTTTTACTGGGTCTAGAGTTTTAATTTTATTATGAGCATTAAATATTTTTATGCACACAAAATTTGATTAAACTTATGCACCTATATTGACGTTATGTTTGTAACCCAACACATAGGTAGTTAATAATGACATTGAAATATTTAACTTTTTAATATTTAAGTACCTACAATTTATTAACACAATTATTTTTAAACTTTTACGATTATTGAGTTAGAAAATTTAATGTGCTACTGAGACATGTTGCACCTGCATTTAGTCACCTAGATTATAGCCAGTTTATAGCATTTTATAATTATGTGTATAATAATATATATATTATTTATAGATCGATTTTTTTAGTATCATTAACAATAATATAAGAGAAAAACCCTCATATGCCGAAGCCACAGCAAATACACCACCATCCGATCAACTTCTCCAAATCGTCACAAGTTTCCTTAACGAGCTAAAATTAATACTAAACCCCCTCCTAGCTGCTCTAACATCCCTAATAAATAAATTTCCACTCCTCATCACTTCCACTCCTTAATTAACACACGTATCAAATTTACTGATCATCCATACCATATTCTAATTAAATTCTAAATTGTATTAATATAAATAAAAAACTTGTAAAAACATGCAATATGTTGAAACATTTAAATTATAATAAATAAAACAATAATATACGAACAAATATAATTTATAAATAATTATCTTTAATATTATTTACTTAACATTTTTTGATATTTACCTAATATTAATTAGTCAATTTCAAATTCTTGGAGAAATTAAATAAACAAAATTATAGCATAGGATAGGTAAAGTATGATTCAATGAAATGATTATGCCACCACATCAACAGCGAAAAGTTATTTACGTCAGAAATTGTGTTGGTTAACATCAGCTAATGAATTATTTATTTTAAATGATGAGCAGAGCAATGGATTGGTTTTACAATGATCTGTGTTTTTTTTTATTTTTGTGTCCGAGTACACGATTAGTAGTCGAAATAATGATTCGGTTTTTCAACTTCAGTATCTTGTTCGATGGGAAAGTGAATTTAGTTGGTACTTTTGAGGGGTCAACATTTCAAATTCCCAATAGTTTTCAAAAGCGCCAGTAGAAACAAAATAAAATTAATTAAAAACGGGAATATTTAAGCAAATCAATTTTTTGCTAATCGATTTGGTTTTTGGTGTAACTCTACAACAAATTACCGCAGATACATGCAATTTTTACTGAATATTAATATTAGCAGTTTCTATACACCATGCAATTTTAAAATATTTGATTTTTTGAGCTGTTTAGTGACTTTTCATTTTTCCAATGTTTTTAGTTTTTTATTCTATAAATATCAATAAAATTGTATTTTTTGTTTAAAAAAGCTTGAAAAGAAGGTTCCTAATATATTGTTTCAAAGACCGATGAAAAATATTAAAAATCCATGATTACATTTTTTTTTTATTATAAGCATTTAAAGTTCGAATTTTGACAAAATGTATCAAATTAAAATGTAATTGTTCATCAAGCTTATACGTGGAGGTATCTATGGATTTATCTTCCCAAAAGGATATTGAGGTTTTTAATATTATTTTTTTCTAAACTGAATAGTTTGCGGGAGATACACTTCCAAAGTGGTAAAATATTGTATCACCCCCCCCCCTATAACTTCTAAAATAAGAGTATGATAAAACTAAAAAAAATATATGATGTACATAACAATGCAATCTTGCACCGAAAATTGGTTTGAACGATATCTAGTAAGTAGTTATTTTTTAATACTTTATAATATAAATAATAATTTTAATTATTACCACGGGGCGTGGCTTGATCTTCAGTGGGTGCACAGAGAGCGAGGGGGGCTTGTTCCCGACTGTGCTTACTCGGGAGGGTAAAATTATTATACTATTGGATAAGACTTCTGCTGGACCTAATGTGGGGCCAAACTTAATTTAAAAAAAATACACTATTATTAAAACATCGAACAAATTTACTTATTATATTTTATGTTACTAGCTGCTACGGAACTCTTCGTGATCTAATCCGACTCGCACTAGCCGCTTTTTTTCATAGCAATTAAGTTCGAATTTTGACAAAATTTATCAAATTTAAAATGTAATAATTTTTGTAGTTAATTATTTATAAAATTTTCAACTTTATAGCTA